CAAGGAAGTTTAGTTATTTCTGTGGTACATAAAACAAAGATAATAAAGCCACTACAAAGAAAAATCAGACCAAACATCTCTAAGGAAAATTATTAAATCTATTTTAGAAGAAATCTATGAATTACATATCTGAATCAAAATTAACTTAATTAAAAATAATTTTAATTTAAGAAAAAAATCTTGAAATGTGACATTTAATAATCCTCAGCCATAATTGTTAATGCCAAGAATACCAAGAAATTTGGAAAGTCAAAATAAAAAAGTCAACATTTGTATGTTTAAAGCAGCCAAAGTCATAACTAATAACATTGCACTATTATTATCTAATATCAGACAAAGCACCTCTAGAACTATAATAAACAGAGTTATTCCTAAGAGTTGCAATGCTTTCCCTGAGAGCAAAATCATATAGGACACTAAGAGAAATGACAAAATTCCAAGGAGTTCCCATAAAGCTTACAAAACTTCCAATATATTTATGTCAATAGCATTATAACTGTACAGATTTACATAGGTAAGTTCAGCATCTCTTTTTAAATTTTTTAAAACTACTTCCTGAGGAATTCTACAAATAAATCTAAGTACTTTCAGCACCTCTTTTCAAAAGTAAAAGACTCAATCTTTGTGACTTTTTTTCACCAGGGGCCTCTGAGAACTTTTAAGTATAAAAGACATCCTGAAAAGTTTAATTTATTTTATAGTTAGTATTCAATTATGGAACTGCAGAAATCAGAAGGTAAAAAAAAAAACTTGTCTGAATGTATTTGGAAAATTTAATAATATAAGTCTAGGGTGCCAGGGAAATACTGTGTTAAATATTTAAACTCTTTTTGTGTGTGTTTTGTTGTAGGTATTGAACCCAGGGATGCTCTATAACTGAGCTACATTCCCAGTGCTTTATATTTTTTTTTTCTGAGATTGGATCTTTCTAGGTTGTTAAGGATCTAAGTTGTCTATACTCACCTCAAACATTATCTTCCTATCTTGCCTCAGCTTCCTGAGTTTCTGGGACTACAGGCATGCATCCCTGTGCCTGGCTATTTAAACATTTTAAGCAATAAAATATTTTAAAAATAAACATAGAAGTTAATATGTTTGTAAAGAGCCTGAGCTCTTTATAGTTAAGAAATCTAGTTTGTTGGTTTTTATGATTTTTCTTTTTCTTAAATAATCAAGGATGCAAAAAAATTCAACTACAAAGCACAAAAAAATTATTCTTGTAAGACCAAATCTTTGCTGTTTAGATAGATAGCATAGGGAGTTTTTTTAAAGTCTTTTATTTAATAGACAAAGAAAATAAATCACTAAGCTAAGAAAGCAAACTCATCAGATTGGGCCAACATTTTGTTTGTGGTGTGTAGCGCTGGGAATTGAACCTAGGACCTCAGGCATAAAATTGGACCAACTTTACTAAAATTTTAGTACTTTACAGCTTCTTCTCAGACTCCAGTATTATATACCAAGTCAAGTAAAATGTCCTTCCAAAATTTACCCTTCATTTCACCTTTTCATATCACAGATATTCTTACTGACACCATGACTACACACAAAAAAATTACATTGATACTTAACATGTTATTCTGTTAACAGTTCAATGAATTCAGCGTCTCTATGATCAAATAAGTCAGTAAATATTCTTAAATTTCTCAATTTCAACTTCTAATATGGTATATTGATAGTTGTCACCCACATACCTTAAAGTTTCTTGGGGTCCACAATAAGTCCCAAGATTTTACAGGTATTCTGAGATGGTAGGAAAAGCCAGAAAAACATTTTTTCTTTCTGTCTTTCTCCTTATCCCTTCTTCCACTATTATACACCAAAATATATTAGCATTCTACTATTATACACTACTATGCAACAGCCACTATAAGGCGAGTCTGTCTTGTCTTTGAGATGTAAAACACACATATTATGAGTCTATTCCTATTATTCCTAGCATGGCCTCAATTATTCATACTAATAGTGACTTTTAACCAAAGTAACTTCCATTTCATAGAGAAAGCTGGAGGTAGAGAATTTAGAACTATTTTTCCACACATATTTTAGCAGACTAGCAAAGTTTATATTGCAACTTTCCATATCCACACACATAACTTTTTAAGTAGACAAAATGACATTTTCATTAACAGAACCCAAAGACAAGCACTTTTCATATCATTTGAAAAATATATATATAAACTCAAAATTATACCTAATAGGTATAAAATTTCCAGTAGACTTAGTTAGAAATTATCTAGATATCAAATAAGTTTTCATTATATAATTCAATGTAATATCAGTTTAATGTTTTATGTTACATAAAGATATTGGGAAGGATATTCAAGCTGACATACTTAAAAAGGTAAAACATAATTATAGTCAAAATAAAATGGTCAGAATAATGATTTGATTTAGTTGAACAAATTTATATTTCTCATTAACTTCAATTTTATATGTGAGTAAAGTTGACTTGATGAGCATACCTGCATAGTTTTAAGAAAAATAAAACCTAGTGGAATAAAATGTTGCTCATTTTATGTTATACCCAACATTGATGAACCAGCGAAGGCAGCTTTTTTTATTAATACAAAATTACTACCTTGGTCTTGAATTGAAAATTGAACTTAAATTTTCAAAATTCTGAGTTTCTATAAGAATAACTTTTAAGTATTGCATACTTAAAATATTATAATCTTAATTTCCTCATTTTCTAAGAATTTTATGGGTATTTGATTTATAAAATAAATTATTTATATTAGAACTTTCTTATATGGCAATCACAAAAGGGTTTCTATGAGAAATTTTTCAACCAAATTTATTATACTCCAGAGATAGGAAAATATTGTGCATTCACACTAAAAAAGATAAAGGTTTTCCTAAATTACAGTATTTTACATACAGAGACACAAAAACAGCTAATAACTTCAGGTCTCAACATTATCCACAGATCAAAAAGAAACATACACAGAGTCACCAATTCATATGTCAAAGAATTATTCTTTTTTTCAATAGGCACAGCATTTTTAACTTATGTTTAAAATATATAAGTACACCAATAATGAAAATAAAATACTAAAAAACTAGATTATTTATTTTCTCTCTTCCAACAGGGAATAAATTTCTATTATCCATTTACAGAAATCACAAAAATTAGACCATAAAACCAAATTCGGAATCACTGCTGTTACTAGTGGGGAATAATTTCTCAATTGTAAAAGTTTAAAAGACAAAATCAAAACAAAAATAGTAGGAAAAAATAGAAAGAAATAGAGGATCTGCAAAGTTTACACTCAATTGCTACTGAAAATTTACCTCTGGAGGTTCGGAAAAGACATGCCATGGTGAAAGAGGCCGGTGAGGTACCTCGTTACCCTACCACAGGAATACTTAGCTATCAGAAGAACCCACTAGGCATCAGCAGGAGACACTCCAAAACGTTTACAAGATAATTTTCTAAAAACAGCATAATTGTAACTCATCTACAGATACAACATGAATATATTTTAAAAAATCATTTAATTAATCATAGAAGGAACCAAAAGATATTATAACCAGTTCAAAGGAGAATATTAGAAGAGTAGAAAACATGTACATATAAGGGATAAGGAAAACTGAAGTCAAACAGTTGCAAAACAGGTCCTTATAAAGGGCAATAATTATTTGCATTTCACTGGGCACAATTAATTTGCATCTTAGACAAGAATATAATATTTTTTTTACTATTATCATCAGTTTTGTACAAGTGAAAGAACTGTAATAAAGCTTGAAAATTCAAGATTGAAGAAGTATGAGGACATCACTTGTATTGTAATAATTACGTGATAATTTTAAAAAATTATAAAATAACACAAGAAATGAATCATCTCCTCAGGCTCATTCATTGTCATGGGATTCATGTTGTCCAGGCACATAAACATATTAAACACTTACATTCATTTTATGATCATGTCACGAAATATTTCAGATTTTATTTGCTTATTCAGCACTTGCATTAGTGCAGCATTTCCTATGCCCATCAACATGTTTGGTCCAATGAATAGCATTAGATTGAGTGAGTCAAGAAACTCATTCTTTTTGTTGTACTCATTTTAATGACTATAGTTTTCATAATTGTTTAATTGTTTTGAGCTACATATTGTGTAGCTCAAAATTTCCAAAATATAATTTTTCAACTGGTATAAGAAATTAAAAATTATGTGGGAAAAACAATACCAAGGTTTCTCTCTAGCTCCAGTTCTAAGTTTCCTACCATTTATTTCTACAATAGAAGAGACAACAAGTAGCATGATATTTTCATTATTAAATTCATGAAAGGTTCAATGGCTTGTATTTTTCCAATGATCATATCATGCAACTCTTTTAGAGGATTTTTTTCCCTCTGTAAGAATTAATTTCACGTACACTTCTCTCTTCTCTTTATCAATACCACATTACCAAATAGTTATTTCCATAGGAGCTCCCTAGGAGCTAATTATATTGTAAATATGATTGGCAATGCCAAATAAAGATAAAGAGACCAAACTTTTTTGTAGATTACAATTTGAATGGGGGAGGGAAGCAGATAAATGGCTTTTAAGATAAGAAAGCAGTTCTTCATGAAACTCACTATGGACAGGTCTACCATTCCACATTTGAGAGATTTTTTTATTTCACAGAATGAAAATTAAGATAGCATTGTTTTTGAATTATAGTCCTGAAATCATATATTTGTAAAACCCCTCACTAGAATTTCTGCAGAGTTAATAACTCACAGATTTCAACAGAATCTAGGCCATCGTGAGCCTGAGACACTGCTCTGATCCAGGTATTCTTGGTAATGTCACAACCCTGGGCCACAAAGCTCCTAATAGGAACCATCACTGCTCTTGAGAAAGAGTCAGGGGAGGAAACATGGAACTGTCTCCATGGAAATAGCCTTTTTAGTTCTGTCTTCTGCAATCTTGAAGCAAAAAGACAATTCACTTACTGCCACTTATTTTATTGATTGAACTAACAGTGTAATTTGTTGTGTATTTTAGGCTCAACCAGGTGACAACTCCACTAGAATCCCCATCCAGACAGATCTCTACATACAAGCGATCATTTTCGACCACATTTCCAGAAGGAAGACTTAAGCACCAACTTCTTAGATGGTTTCCTAATTGTTTGGTAAATTTAAATTGATCCTGTAATCAGAAGCAAATTAGAATCAGATAAATTATTCTTGGTTCTGATCCTTAGAATAATAAAAGTTAATATAGAAATTAGAAAACTGTCATCTTGCCTGTCTTTGAATTGTACAGATAGCCTCTTAACGTGATTTGGGGTTTTCCCCTTTCTTTTTTTCCCCCTTGAACACTGAGGCGGATTGCAACAGTTCATGAAAGAAAATCTTGTTGCCACTTCAAAGATACATTAATTGGTGACATATTGTGTAGCTCAAATTTTCCAAAACAAAAATGTTCCAGGTCCCATTATTGCCAAATCTAGTAGACCAAACATGATGCCGTGTGGCACTGCTGGCAGTGCTGTCTCCCCAAATCAATGGCTAGTGATAAGGGATTTCAAGTAGGAGGACCGTTCTAGGAAATGCTGCACTAATGCAAGTGCTGAATGAGCAAATAAAATCTGAAATATTCCGTGACATGATCATAAAATGAATGAAAGTGTTTAATATGTTTATGTGCCTGGACAACACGAATCCCAGGACAATGAAGCTGAGGAGATGAAATCTAAAGGAAACCAGAGGATTTTAGAGCATGACAGCATCACAATGGAAATGAACATATTTCCTAATGTGCCTTTCACAGAGCTTTCGTGAAGAAAAGATACTATGCAGAGGCCACTTTTTAATTAAAATTAATATTTGGATCTTCTTCCCATTCAGTTCTCTTTCATTTCTAAACAGCTTATTCCTGAGGCAATTAGATAGGGCTAAATAAAGTGGGAGTCTGTTTGGTGTGTGGCAATGGGAGAGACCCAGACAGTGTCCGTTCAAATGAGGTGAGAAGGGTGTATCCATGGGGGAAGCTGTAGAATGGCATAAGACGTCAGATCCCAAGCAGTGGTGAGTGGAGTACAGCTTAAATTGCAATTGCATGTGTTTGATCTCATAATTTTCAATATATACAATGGATTGTGTGTGTGTATGTGCACACCTAACCTGTATGCTACCATGCCCACTGAGAGAGCCCAGCAGCAGCAACACCCCCAGGATCAGTGTCTTAGTTTCTCAGAAGCATTTTCCATTAAAAATAAGCTGGATCCTTGGGAAAACAACTGATTCCAGGTTCATGGAAGAGAAAATTCAAGAGTCTGGAACAGACTTTTCCAGAAAGCAAAGAAGTACTCATCAAATAAGGAAGATTTATTAAAAAGACACAGAACCCAGTTTGGAGGAGCTCCCACTGGCCAAATCAGGGATAGTGGGCATCAAAGCAACAATAACAGCAAGAATCAAATAGGAATCCAGAATCCATACTGATGCATACACATGAATAAATAGAACATTGATGAGGAAGCGGATATTTACCTCTCCACAAACACTTATTGATTCTAAAGGGATCAAGAGAAATGGCTAGCAAATACCACTTACAGGAAGTGATGAAGAATATTATCAGTAATGAGGCAAACTGAATCTGTGCCCTACCAAATAAGATTTATGACTGAATCAAGATTAGTCAACTATCACATCTTAAGTTGGACTAGCAAGGCTTCTCTCATGCAAAGGAGAAACACAGCAAAGTTGCATGAGGCTCCGAATGTAATCAAATGAAATCAGACAAACCCAAATCCAGGGACATTATACAAAATAACTGGTCTGTAATCTTTAAAAGTGTCAAAATGGTGAAATTGAAAGACTGAGAGACCATCCAGACCAAAGAATAGACACATGACAACCAATTATAGCACATAATTCCAAGTTGAATCCATATCCTGCAAAGGGCATTTGGGGACAACTGGTAAAAATCAAATGGTTTCTGAAGATTAGATGGTAGTAAAGCAAAAATGTTTACTTTATGATTTTGGTGATTATGTTGTGATTATAAAACAGAATGTTGTTGATTAGAGGAATTATTCCAAAGCATCTAAGAGTCAAAGGGTATCGTATCAGCTGATTATTTATAAACAACTCAAGGAAAAAAGGTCTTTGTATTATAATTGCAACTTCTAAGCCTGAGATTGTTTTATAATAAAATAAATATTTTAATTATTAAATTTAGAAATTCAGAACCCTAATTCCCTTTATTTTAAGCACAATGTATTTATTTATTGCATTTATTTATAGATTTGACTACATTTCTGGTTTATAAATTTACAAAATTTCAACTTAAAATCATGTCTGAATGAATTCAAATATCACATTTTAAATAATATATCAATGCTTACCTAGAAGAGTCTATAGTTTCTATAGATTCCATATTCTATAAATTCTATAGAATATTCTATAGATTTTATAGACTCTAATAATACATCAGTGCTTATCTATTGGAATCTATTAGACTATCTAATTGATAAGCATTGATATAAATATACTGGCTTCTCTTTTTTTAAATTTATTTGTTTATTTTTATGTGGTGCTGAGGATAGAACCCAGTACCTCATATGTGCAAGACAAGAGCTCTGCCACTGAGCCAAAATCCTAGCCCACCAGCTTCTCTTAAACACAACTATTTTAAAATAGGCATTTGTAATATTTAAAATGCTTAATATATTCTTAGATTATTCCTATATTTAATGCCAAGATTTGAAACACTAAAAAAATATTATATCACCACCAGTGAAATTTTATCTTCTGAACTGTACTTACAAAGAGTAAATGCTGATTGGAGATTTGAGTTGGATTATGGGATGCATTAGTCAGTTTGAGCTACATAGTAAATACTACAGACAGAAATTTAACAGCAGAAATGTCTCATCATTCTGGAGGCTGAAACTCTATCAAGATGTTGGCAAGTTTGGGTTCTTCTGGGGCTTCTCTCCTTGTCTTGCACCTTCTTTCTGTGTCCTCATGGTTTTTTTCTCTACGCATGCATGTACCAGTGTCTCTGTGCACAGAAAATGAGTCAGATTGAATTAGGGCCCATCATAATTTTCACTTAATTTCTGTTTAAAGGTTCCTATGTCCAACATATGAACCCACATGCTTCAAAATATGAATTTGGTTGGACATAATTTAGTCTTTAACATGGGATGTGGACTAGTAACAACCAGGACATTTTCTTATGATTAAACCAGCTCAGCCAATGCTAATCCAAATCTAGACCTTGGAGGATTCTAACATCATGCCTCTAAAATTGGAATTGGCTTGCTGTCCAGATGCCCTGGATTCAAGTTTCAGATTTTAATTTTCTTGTCTAACTTCAGTTTGCAGCATCTATACAGGATGAATGATACTCAGTGACTCTATGCACAGCTTCATACTAATTCTGAATTGTTTCACATTCTATCTGTAGGTTCACAACTCTTATGAATATTTAAATGACATCTGATTGTGTTGAGCATATTGCTCAAGTTTTGCCTTGCCCTGTTGTCACAGTTCTAAGGTCACACTAATGAAACTACTGAGACTCGGAAATCCCCTTCATAGAAGTTCATTAAAATGACTTCCTTCCAATAAAGCAGAGATATCAATTAGCAAACTGTTACCTGAGAGTACAGGTAAACGAAGAAAGTAATTTACTTGAGGCTGGTGGTGGAATGCAGGGCTCAGGAGAGGGGATAGGTGAAAATCAGCAAAAAGAATAGTGGGCCAAAGACACAAGACCAAAACTGAGCTAGCCAACTAAAGGGAAATGAAACAAGAAACTGGGCAATGCAGTAGAGTAAAGAGCATTGAGAACCAGACTATTTGGCAAACTGAAGTTGGTAACTGTCCAAATCACTTTATCTCTCCAGACTTTGGCTCCTAAAGATCCCTTCAAAATCCAAAACTTCTATGATTTCTCCTTGCTGTTTTTCTAAACTAATTATAGACTCAGCTAAAGAGAACAGTCTTGCAAGTTAAGTATAATTTCCTCCAAGTGGTAGTTTAGGTATATTACTCAGGATTCTGGTTAGGTGAGACAGAAAGCTAGTGTGAATCTCTATCCTAAGAACATGAGAATGTCTCCCAGAACAAAAAGAAAGGAATAGGTCTGTATCCAGGAATAATATAAGAAAAACTTGAACAACCTTAGAAACCCATTTCTAACTCACTACTCAGTTCCTCTCTGCCATCATTTTCTTTCAACAAACCAGCATCTGTGTTTCTCCAGACCTTGTCTTATGATAGAAAATATGGTTTCAATTGTTCTAGAGTTTCATATTCTCTGTCTCTGTGTCTCCTCCTCCCTCTCCCATAATTTTCTTCCTCACTCCCCCTTCTTTATCCTGAATCCCAGAGAACAGACACTTCAAACAGGAGGCCAGCCCCCATTAAAATTTAAAATCTAATGTGGCTAGGCTATGCTATTTTGGACTGGAATTATATTTTCCATAATTACAGCAGTCCTGATAACCTTGTGGATGAATAGGCATCTTCAGAAATGTGGGCGATTCTGTCACAAAACAATGGAGCTTGGAAGTGGTACAGGGGAGGGCTGAAAGAAGATGCCTGGCTCAGGCCCCACATCTCTGAAGCAGCAACTCTTTCTTCCTCTTTTCACTGGTGGTGACAATAGAATAAAGGTAATGTGACTAGATAAGGTGTCTCTTTTTGTGTCTTGTTTATAATACAACTTTCTAAGAGCAAGTGTATGGTAAAAATCACCTGATATATGATTAGCCTCTTCAATGGCATCACATCTTCCAGAATAATATGATTTAAATAATAGATACTAGCTATTGATTATTTTAAGCCCAAGGAAATTAAAAGCAAATATCTACTTATTTATGGGGATCCATCATGAGTGAGTTACTCTTCCTAGGGCACAATAATGAATAAATACTTCCCTCAATAAATTCACCAGCTCATAATTTTATAAAAGCTAAGAACTCTTGTGTTTTTATTGGTATTGGCTGTTGCTGCTGCTATGGTGGAGTAAATTCCATCCCTCACCCCAATTACAGATGTAAAAAGAGTGTTGTACATTGTATATTATTATAGTTGAATTTGAATATTATATTTTACTTGTCCTTATTACCAAACCATAGATTCAAAGGATTCCAGATGATACCCTAAGATTTTATAAATATACATTGTACGTGGTGACAATTTTTTACTCCCCCTTTCCTCTGATTATGCCTGATTTCCATATCTTATTACATTATCCAAGACTTTGTAGAACCATATTCAATCATGTTGATGATGCTGGTTATTGGGAATACCACCAAGAAAGTATTTCCCAAAGCATGCTCTGTGGAGTGCTAGTCTTTTTAAAGTATCTGCCAAGAAAAAAAAAAATCACATATTTAAGCAGAAAGAGGAATGTACTGCAATCCAAAGAGCTGATAACTGAGACTTGAGAAAGAAAGAATACAGAAGAATTCTGGAAGCCTCTCTGTCAAGTGCTGCCAAGTAACTGACCTCCAACTACTCTGTGGTTTCTCCCTCAATCCCACATTTCAAATTCTCAAGAGAGGAAATCTGATTGCCTACACTGTGGTTAAATATCCATTCCTGGATCAATCAACAATGGTCAGGAGCAGATGGTAGACATAATA